TTCAAAGGCAGAAAGCCCGTAAACCCTAGACCCTAACCCCTAAACCCTAATCCCTAAACCCTAAACCCTTCATGCGTGAATGTTGGCTGGGCGTGGCAGAGGGCCGGCACGTTCCACCGCAGCTTTGGTGAATTCAACGGGCGTCGGACGTGTGAGAAGGTGATCAGGATAGCTGGAAGAAGCTGCGGTGCCCTCCATACCTGGGTTTTGGCTCCTGCATGTTAGGCGTGCCCGCGCCCCCGCCCAATTTGTTTCTCGTTTCCGCTTGCTAGTCAGATGAGTAAGAACAGCTATAGGTTCCGAAATCGACGCGGCTCAACACCGCAGCATTGTCTTCAATACCAAGCACAGTCATGTTCCAAAATTGGGAAGGACCATGAACAGCAAGACCGTTCAATAGCATGACATCAGAACAGAAACATTGAAGTTTATGCGGCTGACAGGCTTAGGCTTTGCAGGGCTGTCCCCAGCGCTGTCCACCGCGCTGTCCCCAGCGCAGCTTCTCGAGCAGCACTTTTCACCCTAAGCCCTCCACCCTAAACCAGCAACGGATGTGCGAGTCCCAATGTCAGGCCAAACGGATGTGCGAGTCCCAATGTCAGGGCCTGACGGCTCCAGCTGTCCTGTCCACTCCAAACTTGCCAGCTCTTTGTAGGGACTTGGGGAAGTCATGGGCCACGTGGGAAGGGATGTAAGGTGCTAGGGAGGGATAAGAGCTACAGGTTTCTCTACTTCCCAAACTCCCTGCCAAGAACCGGCTCTGACAAGCGACTTCTACCTGTCGAGTTGTAAGCGTTGCGCAGCCGGCTTCGCAAAGTGGTTTGAGACTGTTTGCTGGAGCTTCCTGCACAGCATCTTGTGTTCATTAACGGAGGAACCGCTTTCGTGAAGCTGCCGCGCGAGCATTCAAGCCAGCGCAAAAAGGAGCGTATACCTGCCAGAGCGCGACCATTGCAAGATGTCAGAGCCCAACCCCTAAACCCTAAACCCTAAACCCCAAAAACTTCCGCCTGAGTTAGAGGCCCCGGGGAGTTTTCCAAACCGCCAGAAACTCCCGACTCTTCGAGAGAAAAAGGGGGGATCTAGGGTTCGGCATGTTCCCCCCGATACTAGCAGTCCTTAACAGGGAGTATAGTACCCCTATTATGACCCCTTTTGAGGACTGTTAGTACAGAGGGGGAACATGCCAAGGTAGTTCCTAAACCCTAAACCCTAATAAACCCTCCAAGTTGAGGGTTTAAAGGGGTTTAGGGTTTAGGGTTTAGGGTTGAGGCCACTGGTCAACACAGCTTAGGGACCAGAGGGCCCTTAGTACGTATGGCCCCTTGCCTCCTTCAAAGGGTTCTGATGTAAGGGCCCTTGCTTTGTCTAGGGTATACGAGGGGTATATAAGGGGTACCCCTTTAAGGGACCATGTAGCTACCCTTAGAGGTTGACACGAAGCTAGGTTGGGGACTTTAGGGTTGATGTTTTGACTATAAAGGACTCGGACATGCAAGTGATGTCGAAGGTCGCTGCCACATGCTACTACCCTATTGCCCCAAACCCTAAACCCTAAAGCCTAAAGCCTAGACCCTAGACCCTAAACCCTAAACCCTCTCTCTCTCTCTCACAGGCGCTCACCCTAAACCCTAATCCTAAACCCTAAACCCTAAACCCTCTCTCTCTCTCTCTCTCACAGGCGCTCACCCTAAACCCTAAATCCCAAACCCTAAACCCTAAACCCTAAACCCTAAACCCAAAACCATAGCATACTCTCGACCAGCCAAGCCTCAGATCCAAAGCCAGATCAACCTCGGATGCCCAGTACCACCTTCTTCCCTTTTTTGGTTTAGGGTTTAGGGTTTAGGGTTTAGGGTTTGGGCTTAGGGCCACACCTCCTTGAAGCAAAAGATGTGCACCCTTTTTGATCCTAGCTTACTGGGCAACCTAGAGACCCTAAACCCTCAACCCTCAACCCTCCATCATATGAGGCTTTGCTGCTTCCTGGCCATCTATCGTGGCTCCGAAGGCTTCACGAAGGAAGAGGCCTCGAGCGGTGGCTTACGGGATTGGATGCGGGTACGCCGGGAAATCCACCCCCCCCCCCCCTCCCAAGATTTCAACAAGTAATAAACCTTAATCTGAGTAGAAGAATAGCAATAATAGTAGTAACAAATGACAGTCGTAGTAGTAAAGAGATAACAATAGTAGTAAGAATGAGAACGTTAAAAAGAGCGCCGTGTAACCACCTACAACTTTTGTATATGCTCGGGCCATGATAGAGGCCCCCGTAGTCGTTTGCCAAGTATGTACGATCTAGTTGAAGGGACCCTTACCTTAGTACTATATCCACCTTGCAAATATTTTTTATTTTTGTTCATATAAAACCCAACAGTGTATTAAACATAGCCTTTTTATTATGGTTCTAAGGGGAGTATAGAAGAAGGCTCCAAGAACTCTTATTTCAGGGTCTTGGGGCCTCAAGGCTCTCTTAAATCAGGCTTTCGGGGCTATGTTGAGCCTTAGGGTTCGGGAAAGTGGAGGCATATGCCATGCACCTTACTCCCCTGGCTCGGCTCAACTTAGCCTAGAACCCAGAGTAGGCGCTTGTTCCCTTTTTTAGGGTTAGGTTCCCTGAATTCTAACCCCCTTGGAATGTACCCTAGATCGTATTCAGAATCCGTGTACTCGCCCCTAAACCCTAGTCACTGTGGTGTCTATGCTGCTCGGGTACGGCTATGTTTAGGGCTGAGGGCTCCCGACACCACACCGTGCCGTTGATTTTTTTGTCTGGTATGCACTAAACCCCCAAGCCCTAAATCCTAAACTATGACAATGTGTGTGTATATTAATATAAATATATATATATATATTCTATGTATTAATATCTTACGATATTAGTAACCTAGGAATACAAAGGGTGCCAGGTCCATGTCCTTAGTCCTTATAAGGTTCCCGATGCTTTCGACCTAAGCAATCTTCAACATACCCCTAGGGCATACCCCTTAAAAAAGGAAGTAAGGGGTATGGTAAAATCCTCCCTTGGACTCCCTTTAGATGATACTTTCATAGGTTAAGGGGTATTTTTTTTGGGGTAATTGTGAGTTATTCTTAGATTCGACCCTACCACGGCGCAGGTTGAGGGCTTGCGAGAACTCTTCGACTCCTGCTCTGTTGCCTGTCGGCGGCACCTGAGTTGGTTTTGCTGCTCCGACCCGTTCTTGGTCGAGAATAGAGTTTAGGGTGTAGGCCTTGAGGCTTGGCCCTAAACCCTAGACCCTAAGCCCTAAGCCCTAAAGTCGAAACCCTAAACCCTAAACCCTAAACCCTAAACCCTAAACCCTAAACCCTAAACCCTAAACCCTAAACCCTAAACCCTAAACCCTAAACCCAAAACCCTAAACCCTAAACCCTAAACCCTAAACCCTAAACCCTAAACCCTAAACCTTAAACCCTAACCCTAAACCCTAAACCCTTGGGGCTTCGAGCTGGGGCTTAGGGCTTATAGGGCTTAGGGTTCGTGAGGGTGTAGAATGAGTTGGAGTACCCAGATTCGTCTTGCATCACCCAACTTTCACACAATATGAGTCTCCTAAGTTTCGATGTTCCCCCTTATACTAACAGTCCGTAATGGGGGTTATAAGTCCTTAGAAGGACTGTCAGCACAAGGCTGAACATCCAGCCTAGAGACCCACAAACCCCACTACCCTTTAATCAAAAAAACACAGCTTAAAATATAAAGGGACCCTTTTAAGGTATATTCCTTAATTAAGTATAAATTGAAGGTATCTCCCTAAATTAAGTATAAACGGTTCCTTTTAAGGTATATTCCTAAATATTGAGGGTATTGGCTCTTCGCTTACAATGTTCATGTGTTGGGAGGGGCACGCAGCTCGGTGACTGGGAGCAAGGGCCTGGGTCGCTGGCAGCCCTGTAGTTGAGGGTTTGGGGTTTAGGGTTTAGGGTTTAGGGTTTAGGGCGAGAAGGCATGGGATGACCAATAGGCGGCGGATTTCCTGCGAGCTTGTGGCGCATGCCTTTCGACAGCCTGTTCACCGCCATGCACTGATTAGGGTTTAGGGTTTAGGGTTTAGGGTTTAGGGTTTAGGGTTTAGGGTTCAGGGTTTGAATTCCGACAGGCATTCACCACCCCCGGGGGTCCATGTAACTCTGTGGTTATACTTCGGCGTCCTAAAGCTACTATATGGGAACCCCTTTAAGGGCCAAGTATATACTATAGAGGTACATGGACCCTGAGGGCACGCAAGTGGCAGGCACAACTGACGGCCAAGGCTCATGTAGGACGAAATAGTCGTTGGCCCATGGTTGGCCTATGAAGACCTTAAAACATCATACCTGTACTTGCACGAGCACAAACGCTTTGCGTGTTGCTGCGGCTCCACCTGAATTGTGGAGTGGAACTTGTCTTGTACTAAGCAGCTTTCGACGTAACGAGTTCGGTCAAACCAGATAGGTGTCGATGCTCAATTTGCTGCACGACTTTCCTGGATCCAACAAAACATCGGGTCTTGTCGATCCTGATCACCCTGCGAACTCTTGTTGCCAGAGCTTCTCACACAGGCGGCCACATCTCAAGCCACTTACACTCGATGCCACTTGGTTTTAGGGTTTACGGTTTAGTTTTTTGGTTTGGCTCCCAAAGAGCTCAATACCCCTTCATTGAGGAACATGCCTTAAATCATAATAAGCAAGGATCCCTTATATACATATATTTATATACATATATCTATATACATATATCTATATGTATTTCTATATATATATATATATAGATTAAGGTATATTCCTTAATTAAGGAGTATTGGGCTCTCTGGGTACAGCATATGGGAAAATCACCTTCTGCACCAGGGCTTTAGGACATTACCTACCCAGAAGACGAGAACTGTATGCACTTGGGGACTAGGAGGTACGTAGGGTTTTAGGTGTATCCACTTGAAACAGAAAACACGTAGGGTTGGAGGCTTAGGGTTCCCAGCGGCATGTCGCCCACCGTTTCCATGCCTTCTGAGGTGGAGAAGGCGCCATCAGGACGCCCAGCTGCGTCCGAATGCGCAGACGCACCGCGTGCTCAGCCCCAAACCCTATCGATCCCCGAAGCAAAAACACCCCTAGCCCGTACCTTGATGTACCTTCATGGGGGGTATTTAGGGCATCTTGAACGGTACTTGGGAGCGTCTACCCTTAAACCCGAAAGCCCTGAAAACCTAAACCCTAAACTCCGCACTTGCTTGCCTCGGACTGCCGTAGCACCAACAGCGCCTAAGGGGGGTTCTACCCGATTATATGCTATAAGGATGGGCCCCCCTAGCTATAAGTAGAGTTATAAGGACCTTAAATTAGGTTATAAGGAGCCTAAATTAGGTTATAAGTCCCTTAACTATAGTTAGAATAGTAAGGGGGCCCCTCCTTGTATATAGTGCATGGATCTAAACCTTTCGGTCATGACCCATCTCCGGCAACCCGCCTGCAGGAGGGTAGGCTTTGTGGAATGCCGTTCGGCTGGCGCATGTAAGAAGCCGGAGTATATAGGAGTATACCATAGTAGAGACCCCCGAGAGCTGTCATAATTTAGATCCACCCTGCAATTTTCGAACCCACGGGGTTGCTAGGGGCTTAGGGTTTAGGGCTTAGGGCTTAGGGTTTAGAGAGGTACAAGAGGGTGTAGTTATGCGAATGCCCCATTCCTGATCGCAGGACGGCAAGAGCTGCCAGGGACTTAGAACGCTTGCTGCCCTAAAAACCTGAAATCCTCCACTCGAAAGAAGCCGAAACCTAAAGGCAGGTTCAACACAAACAGCTTCTCTGTTTTGATGCATGGCACAGGCATTTCTTGTTATTGCAAGGCTTTGTGACAAGAAAGGCCCATCGAAGTTGCTACACCGAAGTTGCGATCTTAGGTGTTGAGCAACCCGACTTGCAAGAAAGCAATGCCAGCTGCGACGATCATCTGACCATGCAGTCCTTACAGTAGCCTCTCAGAAAACCGCTTCAAAATGCATCATTGTATGCCAGACCCTAAACCCCGAACCCTAAAGCCTAAGCTTTCAAGTATGGGGTTCTTTGGGACCCTGCTAGCCTACGAGTTGGGCCATGAAAGTGTAAGGTTATCCAGACCTCTAGTTGGAGGTTCATGGGTACTAATACCCCAACGATGAGGAGGGATAGTTATGACCCAATTATAAGTCTACTTAGAACCCTGCGTAGAGGATCAAATAGGGGGGCTTAGAAGCCAAGTTAGAACTGGGATTGTACGTACTCTGAGCCTCCAGGCTCTAGTTGTGGTCCCATTGCTCAAGGTTGCCTGATCTTTTTGTTAGCCAAAAACCCTAAACCCTAAAGCCTAAACCCTATTGAAAATTAGGTACCCCTAAACCATACTACAGCCTAAGCCCTTAAAAATCAGGAACAGCAACTTGAGGTCCAGGTAATCACCTAAACCCCAAAGCCTTAAACCCTTAAACCCTAAAACCCTAAACCCTAAACCCTAAACCCTCAACCCTCAACCCTAAACCCTAAACCCTAAACCCTAACTAAGCCCGAAACCCTGTAAAGGCCGATTGAGCCCAAGCTGGCGGGTCGCCACTTGCCTTCGCTTCTGATCCAGGCACTACCGGGACTGGGTTTAGGGTTTAGGGTTTAGGGTTCAGGGTTCAGGGTTTAGGGTTTAGGGTTTAGGGTTAAGGGTTAAGGGTTTAGGGTTTAGGGTTTAGGGGTACTTCATTTCACCCAAAGACACCAATACCCCAGGATCCCTTTTGAGTTTAAGGTACTTTCCTGATGAAGAGGGCCTAATACCCCTTGCTCCAGGAATATGCCTTAAGTCATAGAGGGTTCCTAAATATGATTTAAGGTAAGTTCCTTGTTCATGGGGCATTGGGCTCTTTGGGTACTTCATTTCGTAGTTCGCATACTTGCGAATGTTCGGTGCCTCAAGAAGGACCAGAATTGGGAATTGGGATCCTGGTAGCAGATGGCCAGCCCAGAAGTCCAGGTTTGTTTGCTGAATTTAGGGTTTAGGGTTTAGGGTTTAGGGTTTAGGGTTTAGGGCTTAGGGCTTAGGGTTTAGGGTTTGGGGGGCTTCAGGGAGCGAGTGACCTGCGCATCTTCGTGTCTCATACCTTTGTGGTACTTTACTAGAACTTTAGCTCCTTACCTTTTTTGGGTTTATTGGGTTTCTTATGAAGGCAGGTAAAAGTTAATTTATAGCTACCCTCCTGAGTGCAGCCAAGATACTGTCGACGAAGGGTTATGGGCTGCCAAGTCTCTGACAACAGCTCGTCACCTTGTGGTGCTTTACTGTAACTTTAGATCCTTAGCCTTCTTGGGTTTATTGGGTTTCTTCATAAGGCAGCTAAAAATTTAATTTATGGCTACCCTCCTGAGGGCAGCCAGGGTCAAGACGTTCTGGTAAAAGGCCATGGCTTTGTTGCTAGTGGCAGGAGCACTACATGATGACAGCTGCTTGTTTTTTGGCGAGGGTACTTGTGGACCATTTTTTCGTGGGCATGCTCCTAGTTAGCTTGCGACAGTCATGACTTCAATCGAGATAGCAACGGTTCGCAAGATTGATTCGCAGAGATCCATGTACCCCAACTGGAACCCCTAAAACTTGGGATGTTCCCCCTTATACTTGGAGTCTTTAACAGGGATTCTAGTACCCCCTACTATAATCAACATCCCAGCCTATAAAGCCTTAACTTACATGTTCTACGCAGTAGGGAGTACAGGACACAAAGAACGGCCGCGACCCTGTATCCCTAACACCCTACCTAGACCCATTAGTGAGTTCTGGGTGTACATAAACTTCTATAGCAACCAATGGCAATAAAGTATATCGTGAGATGAAGTGCCCAACAAACAGTCCAAAATTGGGGGATTCAAGTGGCAGCCCTTTTGACTTAGCAAGTTGGGGTAGTAAGGTGGGTTGTGGGGACTATGAGAGGGTTTCTAGGGGATACTAAGTAGACTTACTGAGTCAAAAGAGCTTCCAAGCAGGTCAGGTGGCTTGAGGTTTTCCGGCTGCGCGGGAGGCCTTTGGAATGCAAGTCGCCGACAACGTGGAAGAGCTGCGCACTCAGTTGTGCAAGTCGTTCACGCGGCGCCAGCCTCCATCTTGAGCTGGAGTACACCCTAAACCCTATTACAGCGAGGCCTGGGTGTTTTTTAGGGTTTAGGGTTTAGGGTTTAGGGTTCAGGGTTTTGTTTAGGGGGGTTTCAGGTTGGACTCCCCCAAGCCAAACTCGCCCAATGCCCTTCCATCAAGAATGCCAGGGTTTAGGGTTTAGGGTTTAGGGTTTAGGGTCATGTTTGGGATTCTCGGGAATGATTTTTCATTTTTGGGTAATATATATTTCCCAAGAAACAGCTAACATCATCATTTTGCTAGGGTTCCAAGATCAAGTATAGCAAGCGTAAGGGTCCTCAATCCCGCACAAGCGACACCCACAAACTGACTAACATTGAAGCCTCGCCCAGCCACGCCGAGTTGATGCCAGCTATGCCCTCCAGAGTTCAGTGTGCAAAAAGGGTCCCTCAACTCCTAAGCCCTTAGGGTTTAGGGTTTAGGGTTTAGGGTTTAGGGTTTAGGGTTTAGGGTTTCGGGTTAAAGCTCCCTTAAGGCACATAGCAGACAAAAAGGGTCCCTAAACTCCTCAACCCTGGGGATGCTCCCCCTTATACTTACGGTCCTTAATTGGGATTACAGTAGGGGGGTTTAGGGTTTAGGGTGTAGGGTTTAGGGTTTAGGGTTGGGGGGGTCTACTACAATCCCTGTTAAGGGCTGTTCGTGGGGTACTACGATCCCTATTCAGGACTGCTTAGTCTAAGGGGGAGCATCCCAAGCTAAAACCCTTAACACAAAGCTCCCAAAATACACGCTGCAGGTTACAGCAAATGCTCGCCTCTGGTCCAAGTCTTGGAGTGTTCTGCATTCCCAGATAAGGTTTAGGGTTTAGGGTTTAGGGTTTAGGGTTAGGGTAAGCCCAACGCGGCCCTATACCCCCCTAAATGATCAAGGGATCCTTAATATGATTTAAGGACTATTCCTTAATTAAGGGGTATTGGGCTCTTTGGGTGTAGGGTTTTAGGGCTTTAGTGTCTCAGGGCGGTTTGGGCTTCAAACTTTTAGGGGTTCATGTAGGTTTTAGGGTTTAGGGTTTCAGGGTTCATGGTTGAGGGGTTCGGGGGTTGAGGGGCTTGTGCGATAAGAGCATTGGGGTGTTTCAGGCCTGACATTCAGAGAGACACAGAGACAGAGAGAGAGAGAGAGAGAGCGACATGGAGGGACAGAGAGAGAGCGAGGACAACAAAAATCAGAGAGGGAGAAGGGGGCCGGGAGAGGGGGAGAGAAAGAGAGAGAGAGAGAAAGAGAGGAGAAGGGTTTAGGCTGCTGTTCCGGTGCTCACAAGGGCTGAGGGACTTTTCAGGGCATGTCATGCGGCAAGTGATATTCGGACCTTGGTCCGCCCCCAACCCAGTCCAAAATAGCCAAAAGAATGTATTACGTTTGCACCCCAACATCGGCTTGCTCCATACCCCATGCCTTTGCAAAACAACAGGGGAAGAAGGCTTTCCCTTGATGGCCTGTGAGGCACACTAAATGCCAAAAACGGAATCTCCTACCCGACGAGTGTTCTGCATCTACTTTTTGACGATATGCAGTAGACCACCTGGGTAAGGAGTATACGAGAGGCCCAGCCCCATGATTTAGGTCAACCCCCCCCCCCCCCCCACGTCACAGAATCGTGTGGATGTGCGGATGTGCGGATGTGCACGCAACTCTGCTCTGCTTAATGCAGGGGTCGGAAGAATTGCCATCAAGTGTGTTCCTTACGGTCTCTGTATGAGTATACTAGAGTAGACCCCGAAACCCTGTTCTAATTATTGAGGCCCCTAAAACCTAATCCGTAAACCCAAAACGCTGAACCCCAAACTGCGTTTGCAGCAAGGTCAGGGCTTCCGGAAGACCGCAACCAGCGAAGCCACCGGCGAGGGATCTGAGCTGGGGTACTCAGTGTGACCTCACTCCCAGAGAGCCCAATACCCCTTAGTTAAGGAAAATACCTTAAATCACAAAGGGATCCTTATTATAATTCAAGGCATATTCCTTAATTAAGGGGTATTGGCATCAGGCTCTTTGGGCTTAGGTCAACTTGGTCAACATTGTTTGTGTCAAAGTGTCATGGAGGTTTGCGGTTCGACTGCCATGCATGAAGACGAAGCGCCTAGCAATCAATGTCGTTGGGCCACAAAGATTTCAGGAAGGCTTTTTCGGCGAGGCACTCCAAGGAAGGTTTAGAGTGCCCATCTTACCTGCTCAGCATGCTGAGCCCTTCTCCGGAATAAAGATTGGAGGCAGTAGAGGTAGTCAGCAAACCCTATACTAAACCCTAAGCCCTAAACCCTAAACGCTAAACCCTAACGAAACCCGAAACCCGAAACCCGAAACCCGAAACCCTAAACCCTAAACCCTAAACCCTAAACCCTAAACCCTAAACCCTCCATCGGTTGAGGACGGCCACCATCAGCTTCAAAGAGTTCCTGATCTTGGCCAGGAGGACCCGCGAGGTCGGAAGGGCGGAAGCTGAGAGTTGTAGTGGTTTGGGGTTTGGGGTTTAGGGTTTAGGGTTTAGGGTTTGGGGTTTAGGGTTTGGGGTTTAGGGTTTAGGGTCTAGGGCTGCTGCCCGTGTTTCAGGGTCTCTTGTCGCTGCAGATGGCAACTTGTTTTAGATGACAAATGAGTTGTCTTCCCTTTGGGGTGCAGGGTTGGGTCTGTAGTCACACCAGTCTGAGTCGGTCTTCTCTCTCTTGCTGGCTTGTATTTTACGTTTTTGCTGTCAAACAAAAACCAATCACAATTAAACACGGTAATTTTTATGCGGAACTGCACGCCTTGCCTGAGATGGAGATGCTCCAGCTCTCCCAGGAGATGCCAGGCGGCGAGCTTTTGGGGTTTATGGGGTTTGGGGTTTAGAGGGCTCATAGAATTTAGGGTTTATAGGGCTTACAGGGTTTAATAGGGTTTTATACTATTTACCGGGGTTAATTATGGGGTTTATGGGGCTTGTAGGCTTTAAAGCGTTTAAGGGGTTCATCGAATTTATAGGGTTCATAGTGTTTGGGGTCTAGTCAGGAATATTTTCCTTTAATCTATACCCAAAACCCCAAACCCTAACTCCAAACCCATATAAGCCTAAGCTCGGGGGTATTGGGCTCTTCGGGTGGTGCCTTGAACTCTGGGAACTCCCCACCTGAAACTGGCCTTAGCTGGGTCTCTGAGGCCCTGGTTTGTTTAGGGTTTTAGGGCTTTAGGGCTTTAGGGCTTTAGGGCTTTTAGCCCACACATCCTCGTATGCCCACACCTCAGCCAGGTGTTTACAACTTCGGGGGCTTCCGAATCCCCTGAGCTCATGAGCTCGCACCTGACTCGATTTGTAGCGCCGAGGACCCTAGAAGTGCAGTTTGGCGCCTCATCTTCGATGGCTACTCTTTGCTTAATTCAAAGGACATAAACCTCTGCAATACCCCTTATTTTGGAAGATTTTTCTAGCTTTTTGGAGGTTCTTAAGCAATTAGTAGATGGTTGCTCCGAAAGCCCAGAACCCTGCAACCTCTGATGCTGAACGCAAAGAACACCTTTCACACCCCAAGTCCTTGAGCAGCCCTTGCAGGCATGCTCAACACACCTTCTACAGCGCAGCCCTCAACCGCAGTCTTGTCATGCAATGCTGTTGGGATTGGGGTTTAGGGTTTAGGATTTAGGGTTGAGGGTTGACGGGTTGACGGGTTGACGTTTTTGGGCAATATAGGACCATCTGTACCACATCACTAGCAGATGAACCCCCCCCCCCCCCCCCGCCCCCCACCCCCAACAGTTTTTCTTTGTTCCAGCCGGTCTGGCACCCCGCTTCCCTGAGAGTCTGAACCGCGGAACCAGGCACAAGCACCCAATACGGACCAACCGAAGAGACACCCGAAGAAGATTCACCCTTGGAGCTCCGGCCGCGTGCTACTGTCCAGTAATTTTGGGCAAGCGCTAACTCTGTGTGTTTTCTGTTCCTAAGGTTATCGGTTCGGCCACTCAATCGCCATCGGAAGCCATTGCAGGAATCTCCAGAAAGCTGGAACATGGTTTAAGGATGATTTGACCTGGGATTTTCTTTAGCATACCTTGTGGGGTATGGGGACAAGGATGTTCCAAACTTTGTTGGAGTCTACTGTGGAGAGCTTACATCAGAAGAACCCGAACTCCTGCTGAGGCTGCCAAGGGCGACTTTGAAAATGCGGCACCTTTGCTAATGCTGGCAGCTGCATGTCTGAGGGAGAACAACGAGCAGTACCCAGAGATTCCAGCAATAGGGGGGGGGGAGAATTGGTGAGATAGATGTGCCCGGCCAGGGGATGCAGACTAGGGTCTACTGGCACCACTTCCGGTTGGGGGGGTCCTCGCAAGCACCGCCAGGTTTGGGGGTTTAGGCAGGGTTTGGGGTTGCATTACAGGCCTCCTTCACCATTCCTAGGACCAGGAGTAGACGCTGGCCCTTGTTTCCTTTTTTCTGGGTTTAGCTTTCCTTGCACGACCCTTGAAGCCAAAAAGGGCACCCTGTTCATTCCGAGGTACTCAGAAGGAAAAGTGTATTGCAGTTCAGGGACGATTCCTTAAGGAATGTTGTAGTTTCTGGGGCCCTATTTACAGGCTGGTGGGGTTGCTGATGCTCCCTTTGCGTACTTCGAGGGTTTAGGGTTTAGGGTTTAGGTTCAGGGTTTAGGGTTTCTGCATGGAGGGTGCAGGAGTTCGAGGGTTTCCCTGATGGATTGCACGTGCGCATCTAAGGACACTGTCCGGCGCCCAGTTGTCGCAAGCCTAGGGTTTAGGGTTTGGGGTTTGGGGTTTGGGGTTTGGGGTTTGGGGTTTTAGTCTTAGGGCTTAGTTTAGGGTTTGGGGTTTAAGGCTTAGGGCTTAGGGCTTAGGGCTCGCCTCCCTCATTGTCGGAGGTTAGGGTTTGGGGATAAGGGCTTTCTTTTTGTTCGATTATGTTGCGCATGCGTTTACTGCCAGGGTTTGTCATCTCAGTCAGTAGTGCTGAGTTTTCGGGACTCTTGGCAGTATTCCGGCGACCGCCCTCAGTCCGGCTGCAAAAAAAGTCTTTAGGTTTAGGGTTTAGTGTTTAGGGTTAAGGGTTTAGTGTTTAGAAAAAGTGTTTAAACAAAGTGTTTAGGCTTAGGGTTTAGTGTTTAGGGCTTGGGGTTTCTTCAGCGCCTGAACTGCATGTCAAGTCAGGAACCCCGAGTTGGCAGCTGCCAAGCATTCGGGGGCAGTCTCTGTTCAGGGTTTAGGGTTTAGGGTTTAGGGTTTAGGGCGACAGACCACGGCCTGAGGAACACCTTCAAGGTCCAAGTCTACTCCATGTATGAAACCCTAAACCCTGGACCCTTCGGGTGCAACGCGGTTCCCTGGCGCAGAGTTCTTAGTTCGACGTTCGACGTTGCTTCGCGCGCCCGACAGCCCTTTGCGAGAAGGACGGCAATGGAACCATCTCGGACAAAGAGCTCGTCAAGTTTCTGGAAGGACCCTTTCTGTTCTTGTTGGCAGAAGCTTTCCTAACACTCACAGGGATCATTCCCACAAAGTCCCCCAAGAATCCGGTCACCCGCAAGAGCGGCCAGGAAAGGAGTTCACGCCGCTGAAGAAGGCACTGCTGTTTAGGGTTTAGGGTTTAGGGTTTAGGGTTTAGGGTTTAGGGTGTAGGGTGTAGGGTGTAGGGTGTAGGGTGTAGGGTTTAGGGTTTAGGGTGTAGGGTACGGCTCAAGGGCTTTTGGCTGCGAGGCCCCGCTGGGCAAGCCCGGTAGAGCTGGTGCATGTGTTTTAGGTCCTTCCATGGATACCACTAGGCGAAAACTTTTCTCCGGCCTGGGATTTTCATTACGACGTGCAAGAGCCTTGGGTCTGTCCGAGACGGCCGAATATGTCAGCATGGCGATGGTTTCGGCTAGTGGTCCACAGGTGGCTACCTTCCCAGTGGCCAGCAAGAGGGAGGTGCTTTGTTTGAGTGACCTTATTCCGTGTCATGCCTCGGCTTCCCACAGAGACACCGCATGTCAAACGAACGTGGACATTCTAACAAGGACGCAATTCGAGGTCATCATGAAGGATATGCAGGCCATGTTCCTCAGCACGCTTGAGCAGATCAAAAAACAACTCGTCGAGCGGGAGGGCGCAATTCAGGCTCTCGAGCAACAGATCTGTGAGCAAAAGATTCCCAGCGTTACGGTTGCAACCCAGGAAGTCTCTTCCTGTCACCCACAGAGTGGTGGCAAAACTTCGTCGCCAGATGCTGAGCAAGAGGTCAAGATGGAAGATGCCAGGCCCCGATCGGGTACTACACTGTTCTCGGCCAACAGGCAGAGTGGCTCGCTCGATGCACTGCGTCAACAACACGAGGTCGAGCGACGGGTGCATAAGGAAAGGTGTAGAGAAGAGAGGAAACGGAAGCTTGACCGGCCAGGGTGACTTTAGTTGTACCTCTACTCCACGAGAGCTAAGGTTTTTTCAGTGCATGTATGTCACCCATTGAGATCCTGCTGACTTGTGGCACTGCTGCTACAGACAAGGGCACACCCCCAGCAGGAGATGTAGCCGCATTGCTCTCAGACGTTCGTCCCGGCATAGTTCCAGGGGTCAAAAAAGGGTTTAGGGTTTAGGGTTTAGGGTTTAGGTGTCAACTACCTAGGATGCCCAGTAGTACCTTATTCCCTTCTTGGGGGGCTCAGGCTCCCTCACAACTCTTTAACCAAGAAAGGTCACCCTGTTTAATCCCAGGTTACTGGGCAACCTAGCTTACAGATTTTTTGTGCATGTGGGCTGCGAGTGAGGGCCTATAAGTCATCGGAGTTTGTTCAGGTAGAGTCTACACAGTCCTGTTCTTTTGTGTCTTTGACAATCAACCCGAGTTCAGCACCAAACACTAGGCCCAACAACTCTAACCCTTAGGCTCCAAATAGCCCAAGATTTTTTTGTTTGAAGGCCTTCGGGCCCAAAAACCCTAAAGTAGGAGTCCTGAGGGCCCAAAAAACTCTACCCTAAACCCTAACCCCTAAACCCCAAACCCTAAACCCTAAACCCTACACCCTAAACCCCCTTCAAGAATGGCGCCTCCCTGCCTGGTAGGTCGTCCAGGAGGTGCTCATGGAAGTGGCCCCGACCTCTGGGGGCAGGTGAGGGTTTAGGGTTTAGGGATAAGGGTTTAGGGTTTAGGGTTTAGGGTAAGGGCCACACTGGACCTTGCTGTTCAGAAATCCGTGGGTCAACCCCCCGTGTGCAACCTTAGGGGTGTGGGTGCAAATCCCGTTGTTCCATAAACCCTAAGCCTGTCCACCACCCTAAACTTACACCCTAAACCCTAAGCCCTAAATTCCCTGAACCCTAAACCCTAAATTCCCTGAACCCTAAACCCTGACTTACACGCTAAACCCTAAATTTTCTAAACCCTAAACCCGAAAGCCTAAACCCTAAACCCTAAACCCTAAACCCTAAACCCTGAACCCTGAACCCTAAACCCTAAACCCTAAACCCTAAACCCTAAACCCTAAACCCTAAACCCTGACCAAACCTACCGCGGCCGAGGCTGCGGAGGCCATCCAAGGCCAACAAGACCTCGTGGGAGCCTTCATCTTTTTTTGTTCTTTTTTGGGGGATCGGGGGAATTCGAAAGGGGTTTCGGGTTTAGGGTTTAGGGTTTAGGGTTTCGGGTGCATAGGGTTCATTGTAGGGTTTGGAGGGTTTACAGGGTTTTCGGGTTGGGTTTGATGATTGCAGTAGGGTTTAGGGTCGAGAAGGCCTGCGTTCTGGCTGTCGCTAGGAGCCCAGATGCAGGGAGGGTTTGGGGTGTAGGGTCTCCAGGGTTTAGGGTTTCGGGTTTCGGCTTTAGGGTTTCGGGTTTAGGCTCTAGGGTATAGGGTCTATAGGGTTTAGTGTGTACAAGGCACACCACAAAGGCCTATGTGCCATGGACCTTTAGGTATAATGTGAGGTCTTGTCCTTCTTTCCCTATTAAAACCATTGAATGCTCTATGCCTGAAGCATGTCAGAGTTGGGTTTATGGCTTAGCAAACTCACTCATCCTTGGAAACAAGTCGGAGGGGGCCTTTCTCTTTTTCAAGAAAAATGAAACAACTATGAAGTAACACAATAGCGAGTCACCCCCCTCCTCTTGGCCTCTCGTCGCTTTCTCACAAGTCCAAGTTATGGAAGGAACCGCCGGAAAGATGAAAAGAATAGGAAGGGAGAGATAAGCGAAAGAGGGTTCCGCCCCCCTTTCCAAAACCTTCTTCATTCCTCGCCTCTCTTCGTCTCTTCTCTTTGCTTCTTCTTTTCTGACAACAGTGGGAAAGGGAAGGAATGAAAGAGCAGAAGGAAGGCAGGCGCAAATGGGCCTCCTTTTGTGCGCCCGTCCTCCTTGCCTTTTTGTCTGCCTCGATGCGGCAAAGCTGAGCAAGGGAGGGGGGGAACGACAAGCTCTCCGTTTTCTTGTCTTGTCGTGTTTTCCCAGAGTGTTGCTGGAAGACTGCGGGGGGCTTTTTTCCCACCTCTCCTTTCCTTTCCTTTCCTGCGCTCTCATAGAAAAAGGAAGAAGAAGGATAAAGACAAAGCAGAAACAAAAAAGAGGTCATGCCCCCGCCTATGTGCCTATGTCTACTTTCTCCTCTCTTGCTTTCTGCTCTTCAGTTTCTGGACTCTGATACGTAAGAAATGTCCGCGACAGGGGGTGGCAGGGGGAGCGTTCCTTTCCCAGTCTTTCTTCCATGTCTCCTTATCAATGAGAAAATGCATGAGGGGGAGGAAGGAGAAGTGGAGAGTGAGAGCGAGGGACAAGGAGAGGGAGAGAGGAAGAGAGAGAATGAGAGAATGAGAGTGAAAGAGAGAGGAAAGAGGGAGGAAAGAAAGAGAGAGAGAGGGTGTAGGTAGATAGATAGATAGAAAATGAAGAGGAAAGGCGAGCAACCGCAAGGCGTGGCAACTTTCTGTGGTTTTCCTTTCCACTTCAGTCTGTTCTTCCTCACCATTTATCTCATTCGCGAGAAAAGGAGGAGAGAAGAGGAAGAAGAAAGGAGGACAGCAAGGAAGAGGGCAGATGGAGTGACAAGTTATCTGGCCCCTCTTCATACCTTATCATCTGCGTACATTACTCATCTGTTCTCTTCTGTCTCCTGTTCTTTTGAAGTAAAGGTTCCCTTGTCTTGTCGTGTTTTCCCGGAGAGTTGCGGGAAGACTGAGGAGGCCTTTTTACCCACCCCTGTTCTTTCCTGCGCTCTCATAGAAAAAGGAAGAAGAAGGATAAAAGACAAAGCAGAAACAAAAAAGAGGTCATGCCCCCGCCTATGGGCCTATGTCTACTTTCTCCTCTCTTGCTTTCTGCTCTTCAGTTTCTGGACTCTGATACGTAAGAAATGTCCGCGACAGGGGGTGGCAGGGGGAGCGTTCCTTTCCCAGTCTTTCTTCCATGTCTCCTTATCAATGAGAAAATGCATGAGGGGGAGGAAGGAGAAGTGGAGAGTGAGAGCGAGGGACAAGGAGAGGGAGAGAGGAAGAGAGAGAATGAGAGAATGAGAGTGAAAGAGAGAGGAAAGAGGGAGGAAAGAAAGAGAGAGAGAGGGTGTAGGTAGATAGATAGATAGATAGATAATGAAGAGGAAAGGCGAGCAACCGCAAGGCGTGGCAACTTTCTGTGGTTTTCCTTTCCACTTCAGTCTGTTCTTCCTCACCATTTATCTCATTCGCGAGAAAAGGAGGAGAGAAGAGGAAGAAGAAAGGAGGACAGCAAGGAAGAGGGCAGATGGAGTGACAAGTTATCTGGCCCCTCTTCATACCTTATCATCTGCGTACATTACTCATCTGTTCTCTTCTGTCTCCTGTTCTTTTGAAGTAAAGGTTCCCTTGTCTTGTCGTGTTTTCCCGGAGAGTTGCGGGAAGACTGAGGAGGCCTTTTTACCCACCCCTGTTCTTTCCTGCGCTCTCATAGAAAAAGGAAGAAGAAGGATAAAAGACAAAGCAGAAACAAAAAAGAGGTCATGCCCCCGCCTATGGGCCTATGTCTACTTTCTCCTCTCTTGCTTTCTGCTCTTCAGTTTCTGGACTCTGACACATAAGAAATGTCTGCGACGCGGGGGTGGCAGGGGGAGCGTTCCTTTCCCAGTCTTTCTTCCCTGTCTCCTTATCAATGAGAAAACGCACGAGGGGGAGGAATGAGAAGTGGAGAGTGAGAGCGAGGGACAGGGAGAGGGAGAGAAGAAGAGAGAGAATGAGAGAATGAAGTGAAGGAGGGAGGAACGATAGGAAGGGAGAGATAAGGGAAGGAGAGGGTTCCGCCCCCTTCTCCAAATCCTTCTTCGTTCCTCTCCTCTCTTCGTCTCTTCTCTTTGCTGCTTCTTTTCTGACAACAGTGGGAAAGGAAGGAATGAAAGAGCAGAAGGAAGACAGGCACAAATGGGCCTCCTTTTGTGCGCTCGTCCTCCTTGCCTTTTTGTCTGCCTCGATGTGGCAAAGCTGAGCAAGGTAAGGGGGGAACGACAAGCTCTCCGTTTTCTTGTCTTGTCGTGTATTCCCGGAGAGTTGCGGGAAGACTGCGGGGGCCTTTTTTCCCGCTTCTCCTTTCCTGTTCTTTCCTGCGCTCTCATAGAAAAAGGAAGAAGAAGGATAAAAGACAAAGCAGAAACAAAAAAGAGGTCATGCCCCCGCCTATGTGCCCATGTCTACTTTCTCCTCTCTTGCTTTCTGCTCTTCAGTTTCTGGACTCTGATACGTAAGAAATGTCCGCGACAGGGGGTGGCAGGGGGGGCGTTCCTTTCCCAGTCTTTCTTCCCTGTCTCCTTATCAATGAGAAAATGCATGAGGGGGAGGAAGGAGAAGTGGAGAGTGAGAGCGAGGGACAAGGAGAGGGAGAGAGGAAGAAAGAGAATGAGAGAATGAGAGTGAAAGAGAGAGGAAAGAGAGAGGAAAGAAAGAGAGAGAGAGAGGGTGTAGGTAGATAGATAGATAGAAAATGAAGAGGAAAGGCGAGCAACCGCAAGGCGTGGCAACTTTCTGTGGTTTTCCTTTCCACTTCAGTCTGTTCTTCCTCACCTTTTCTTCCTATATATCTCATTCGCGAGAAAAGGAGGAGAGAAGAGGAAGAAGAAAGGAGGACAGCAAGGAAGAGGGCAGATGGAGTGACAAGTTATCTGGTCCCTCTTCATACCTTATCATCTGCGTACATTACTCCTCTGTTCTCTTCTGTCTCCTGTTCTTTTGAAGTAAAGGTTCCCTTGTCTTGTCGTGTTTCCCCAGAGAGTTGCGGGAAGACTGAGGGGGCCTTCTTACCCACCTCGCCTTTCATTTTCTTTCCTGCGCTCTCATAGAAAAAGGAAGAAGAAGGATAAAAGATAAAGCAGAAACAAATAAGAGGTCATGCCCCCGCCTATGGGCCTATGTCTACTCTCTCCTCTCTTGCTTTCTGCTCTTCAGTTTCTGGACTCTGATACGTAAGAAATGTCTGCGACGGGGGGTGGCACGGGGAGCGTTCCTTTCCCAGTCTTTCTTCCATGTCTCCTTATCAGTGAGAAAACGCACGAGGGGGAGGAAGGAGAAGTGGAGAGTGAGAGCGAGGGACAGGGAGAGGGAGAGAAGAAGAGAGAGAATGAGAGAATGAAAGTGAAAGAGGGAGGAACGATAGGAAGGGAGACATAAGGAAAGGAGAGGGTTCCGCCCCCTTCTCCAAATCCTTCTTCGTTCCTCTCCTCTCTTCGTCTCTTCTCTTTGCTGCTTCTTTTCTGACAACAGTGGGAAAGGAAGGAATGAAAGAGCAGAAGGAAGACATGCACAAATGGGCCTCCTTTTGTGCGCTCGTCCTCCTTGCCTTTTTGTCTGCCTCGATGTGGCAAGGCTGAGCAAGGGAAGGGGGGAACGACAAGCTCTCCGTTCCCTTGTCTTGTCGTGTGTTCCCGGACTTTACCCACCTCTCCTTTCCTTTCCTTTCCTTTCCTGCGCTCTCATAGAACAAGGAAGAAGAAGGATAAAAGACAAAGCAGAAACAAAAAAGAGGTCATGCCCCCGCCTATGGGCCTATGTCTACTTTCTCCTCTCTTGCTTGCTGCTCTTCAGTTTCTGGACTCTGATACGTAAGAAATGTCTGCGATGGGGGGGTGGCAGGGGGAGCGTTCCTTTCCCAGTCTTTCTTCCCTGTCTCCTTCTCAATGAGAAAACACATGACGGGGAGGAAGGAGAAGTGGAGAGTGAGAGCGGGGGACAGGGAGAGGGAGAGTGGAAGAGAGAGAATGAGAGAAGAGAGAGGAAAGAGAGAGGAAAGAGAGAGGAAAGAGAGAGGAAAGAGAGAGAGCGAGAGAGAGAGAGAGAGAGAGAGAGAGAGAGAGAGAGAGAGAGAGAGAGAGAGAGAGAGAGAGAAAGAGAGAGAGAGAGGGAGGGAGAGAGAGAGAGAGAGATAGTGAGAGGGGGATAGGTAGAGAGGTAGGTAGTTTTCCTCTCCACTTCAGTCTGTTCTTCCTCACCATTTCTTCCTATATATCTCATTCGCGAGAAAAGGAGGAGAGGAAGGAAGAGGGGAGATGGAGTGACAAGTTATCCTGGTCCCCCTTCTTACCTTATCGTCTGCGTACATTACTCCT